CCCCCCCCCCCGTGGTCAGATATTCAGGGAAGCCAAGGATGGCAGAGTGTAGGTAGAAACTCTTCTTATTTCACAGTGATGTCATTTGTTAATGAGGTCAAGAAAGAGGGCTTGCTTGTCCCTTAGCCCTGCAAGTGTCAGAGTCCCACCTCTGCCTACGTGGGAGCTACCTTGTGTGGAATCAGTCTATCGAGATCTGGATCGTCTGCTCTGACTGGCAGTGACTCTCCAGGATCCCAGGTAGTAAACAGCTGCATGACCAGGTCCTTTTAGAAATGGGATTTAACGTGGGACCTTCTGCCTGCAAAGTCACAGGCCCTTCTCCCCGTGAGCACAGCAAAGCACTGGTCAGCCACTCCAATTGTCGGAATCTCTGAACAGCAGTCAGAGCAAAGGTCCAGGGGCTGTCTGTGTAAACGGAGGGGTTTTTTTCTCTTCTTCAGGGCATTGAACAGGGGTCACTGGGGGTGGTGGTGGGGTATTTGTGAATTTCCTGCATTGTGCAGGGGGCTGGACTAGATGACCCTGGAGGTCCTTTCCAACTCTGATTACTGTTTTGCCTGAAGTAGGTTTTTTTTTCCGAATCGACATTGTTTGTGCTTCTAAGCCCGTGAACACCCATGAGCTCCTCCATGGAAGAACCTCTGCTTTGCATGCAGAAGGTCACAGGTTCAATCCCCCGGTATCTCCAGTGGAAAAAGGACCATAGAACAGGTGAGGTGAATGACCTCTGCCGGAGACCCTGGAGAGCTGCCGCCAGTCAGAATAGGTAGCACGGACTTTGGCGGACCACGGATCTGATTCAGTATAAGGCAGGGGTCGTTTCGTAGAAAAAGAGCTAGGGGAACTCATTAGGCATTACTCATTAGCATATGCCACACCCGCTGACATCACCGGAAGTGTGTCATAAGGCCACACCCCCTGACATCACCGGGAGTGTGTCATAAGGCCACACACCCCGCCCCCAACGGTCCCGGCTGCCGCCGCCAGCCTTGCAGCTCCACTGCCGAGCCCCATGAGGGGCCCGGCGGTGGACCTGCAAGGCCAGCGGGAGTGCAAGGAAGCCCCGCGAAGGCCCTCCCTGGCCCCAGGCAGGCAGGGGTGGGGAGAGGCAGGGAGGAAGCAACTTACCCTCCCTCTTCTCCTGCCTCCTCCTGGCTGAATGAGGCCCGGAAGCGGGGCGGCCGGAAGCAGGGGGTGGGGCTTCGTCATGTGCCCCGCCCCCTGTACCTCACCCGGGGGAACTGCGATCCCCCCCGAAATGACCTCTGGCATAAGGCAGCTTCATGTGTCACGTAAGCAGCATAAGCATCGAGCCTGCAGATGATTAAAATATTTTTTGTTCACTATTTGACCGGCCAGGGGATCCATCAGCCCTCACTGTGCAGGGATCCTACTTTCTGCCAGCATTGGCACCCGTAACATCTAGAGGGTCTCGTGAATAGGTCCTGCAGTGTTTGTCGGGAGAAGCATCCTTTGCCGGTCTGCTTTGTTTGTTAGCATTGTGGTAACTTTCTTTCTTCCCCCCCCCCCCCC